TATATATATATATATATATATATATATATATATAGAGCAAATCCACCTGGATACAATATATCTAGAATAAAATTACGCTTGAATTTAATTTCATATATTCAAGATATATATAACTAAAGACACCAAAATCCGATAAAATAAGTAATATTCAAAAACTAAAGTGTATCCAACTCAACGGTTATTTATCACCCAAAATGGTCATTCGGCCCACTTTGTTGTAGCCGAATTGAATAATGGACTGCTTATCTTCTTCACTTCATCCACTTCGTTACATTTTTCTTTCTCATGATCTGAGTAACAACGTGGAAAATATCATTTTCTTTTTTTCATCTTTTCCACTTCGTTTTATTTTATTTTCTTTCTCCAATTTAATCACAGAAATGTTAGACAAAATTTTAAATATTTACATCATCAAGATGCAATATAGTATAGAAAACTAACTTAGAAGTAGAAAAGCAGTCTGAAAGAAGAAAGGAGGAGCATAAGAAAGAAAAATTGAATTATCTGTCGTAAAAGAGTTTTGAAGCTCGACTTTTGAAATCCGACAAACGCGGCAAACGTGAATGGTTTCGAGTGAATAATATATGAAAAGACTAAAAACATCGAAAGGAGATCATATTTAAAATTTAGGACTGTTTAAAAGAGATTTGAGTTGGTCAGAATTGAAAAAAAAAGTTCATTTGAGGAAGATGAACTAATATAATATATAAATGTCGTATAAATAGTGTATATGGATGTATATACATCTCGGATTCATAATTATACATCATACATACATAATTATATGCTTTTTATACAATATTTATACATTATATATGCATGCTACCATTTAATTGAATTTTTGTGACATATATCGTTACGTAACCAGCCCTACAAATAATCACACAGACACTATTTTTGCTATTTCTACCGAACCGCTATGGACCATAGACATAATACACAAATGTTGCCTTTAACTTGATTTCATTCCACATTTATACCCTCCAACTTTGAGTATGCACAATCAGACACATGCGCTCTACATGACATATGTCACGTCCCGAGTTTACACCCCGGATGTGGCTGGCACTCGAAGACCATTGCTGGCCCCAAGTGAACCCTTGACATGACTTACTTAACTCAGCGAAAGACAATATTCATATCTATATTGATCAATGAACTTAAGTAAACTGAATATTAAAATAACTATGAAAGTTTTAAAGAATAAACATTCAACTTGGCCAAAAATGGCAACCCAAATCTTAACATTAGAAATGATAATGAAAAGACCCAAAAGACTAACATCTGATTGTTTATGAAGTAGAAAAGCAGTTTGAAAGAAGAAAGAAGGAGCATAAGAAAGAAAAAAATGAATTATCTGTCGTAAAAGAGTTTTGAAGCTCGACTTTTGAAATTCGACATACGCGGCAAACGTGAATGGTTTTAAGTGAATAATATATCAAAAGACTAAAAACATCGAAAGGAGATCATATTTAAAATTTAGGACTGTTTAAAAGAGATTTGAGTTGGTCAGAATTGAAAAAAAAAGTTCATTTGAGGAAGATGAACTACTATAATATACAAATGTCGTATAAATAGTGTATATGGATGTATATACATCTCGGATACATAAATATACACCATACATACATAATTATACACTTTTTATATAATATTTATACATTATATATATATATGCTACCATTTAATTGAATTTTTGTGACATATATAGTTATGTAACAAACCCTACAAATAATCACACAGAAACTATAATTTTGCTATTTCTACTCGAACCGCTATGGACCATAGACATAATACATAAATGTTCCATTTAACTTGACTTCATTTAGCATTTATACCCTCTAACTTTGACTATGGACAAGCAGACACTTTATGTTGTATAAAATTAAACAAATAGATGTAGGCGCTCACGTGACATATGTCACGCCCCGAGTCTACACCCCGGACGTGGCTGACACTCGAAGATCATTGCTGGCCCCAAGCAAACCCTTGGCCTAACTTACTTAACTCAGCGAAAGACAATATTCATATCTATATTGATCAATGAACTTAACTAAACTGCATATTAAAATAACTGTGAAAGTTTTAAAGAATAAACATTCAACTTGGCCAAAAATGGCAACCCAAATCTTAACAATGATAATGAAAAGACCCAAAAGACTAACATCTGATTGTTTATGAAGTTGAAGCCTCTAACATAATTAAGATGGATGTTGAGACAAACCCCACAACATCCTAATGAACTACACCAGAAAGCAAATAAAGAGTCCTCCAAATGCAAGAAGGCTCACCAAGAGATACTAAATGCTCAAGATGGATCAACAAAGTGCTGGATGCTGATCCTGGTTACCTGCATCTGCATCATAATATGATGCAGGCTAACTGGCATCAGTACATTGAATGTACGAGTATGCGAGTTGAAATGCTAACAAACATAGGTTTGAAAGAGATTCTGAAATAAACACTTACCTTGACTCTTCTCAACTCATGAATACTTAGCTAAACTCATTTCATTATAAAGTATTTTAAAATAGATGCAATATAAAGAAAATCTTGTTGTAAAACATAATGCCAACTCCGTGTACATACAATGATATAACATAACTCTGAAATGTATGTATAAATACAATAAACAGATGTATATAAAAATATAATAAACTTCTGTGGGAGATTCTCTAACCGACAACTATCATTATGAGCCTAGTTATGGTGCAACATTTTACCTCACGTTGACAAGGACCGTCCTATACCTTGCCATCGATATAGAACCTGAACTACGAAGTGGATCCACTAGTCTATCCTAAAAAGACTAAGGAATCATCTTAAAAGTATGATCCTTTCTTTGCCCATGATGACTCCATAGTTTATGGGGCTTGAGCTAATATGAACTCACATCCCCATATCGGTGCTCAATACTACTCCTAAAATATACTTAACTCATATGTTTTTAAAAAACTTCTTCTCTGGTTTGAGATAATTACTCAAACTTATCTGAAAAGCTCTCTTAGAAACCATAGTTTCCTCTTTACAGAAAAACTAGCTTAATGACTCTTTTGGAAATCTCAGTTTCCTTTCTTGTTTAAATCTGAAAACATTTACAAACTTTTAGCGAATACTTAGTTCCCTTATAACTTTTTGAGAAATGAACTCAACTTTTTACTCTTACTTAACTTGAAACTAGAGTTTAAAAAAAAAATTAAAAACATTATTAAAGACTCTTGAAAACTTTATAAACTTTACTTTGACTTGCTTCTTAATTAACTTCTGGACTTAATTCTTAACTTCTCTTAACTTTGATCTTAACTTTTCTTGAATTGGATTATGGATTCAAGGTTCATGATCTCATATTTATGGATGATTTCATGATGTTTAGATGTACCTTAGAGTGTTGTGATCAACTAGGAAACATAGGTACATCACTAAGGAACTAGTACGGAAAGATGGGGGGAGAATGGGGAGAACTGACATCCCTAGTTCTCTGAGAGGCGCAGGGCGCTAACCCTCAAAATTCAGAGAGCTTCTTGTGGAGCTTTGGTTGACGTGACGCGCCAGAGGCTAAAGTTCAGAAGAACTTTTATGGCGCTCGGGCAGACACGGCGCCCCAAGCCTTCCCAAGAAAGTCTACGACTTTTCTTCTTCGTTTTTCATCCCTATACCTTTTGAACTTCCAAGATTCTTTCCCCAAACATTTAGGATCATTAGTACCCTCAATATAAAATAGATTTAACTCAAAATTACACCCGAAAACATGAATCAAAATTCAAGAAACTTCAACTAAACAACCCACAAGAATTCAAACGAATTTTATTGAGAATTCAAAGGATTTCCTTTCAAATCAAACATCATTTCCTTGAATTGAAACATGATTGTCGCTTGAGTGAAGTAACCCAATTCTATGTGATATCACATACCTTGTAGGGATCACCCCAGACGAAATCCACACGCAAAGCTTGAATCTTCTTGGCGATTTCTTGATTTTTCTTCTTGTTTCTCCTCTTTTCTCCAAGCCCTAGCGTGAAATCTAACATTTCTAAACTGAGCAAACATCTGGTTTTACCGCAACTAATTCCCAAAAACGAATTAACATAATTATGTAAGGAAAAGACTAATTTACTCTTCCCAAATCCATATTAGACTTTCCTTAATTCAATAACCCAACTTCAGAAAGATATAACTCACTTATACAAATTCAGAATAGCACAAACTTAGCGGCGTTGGAAATAACATTCCAAGAGCTTTCCAAACATATCTGGAACTACATCTAACTCATCCCGAGCTAGGAGTTATGATCGCTTGAAGTTGACTAAAAACTCACTTTCAACTTGCTTAAAAATTTCTAGATTTCCTTATACTTTCCAAAAGTAACTATTCCCAGATTTTAAATTTCCTTCTGGTTCTTTCTAGTTTTGAGGTGTTACAACATAATACACATAGGATACCACGTAAGATGAAAATTACCATATAGAATGCCATGTAAGATATGTGTGTCTATTTGTTCAATTTTATTCAAATTTAAAAGCCTACTTAAGCATACCGAAGTTGGAGGGCATAAATGTAAGTTGATGCCAAATCAAATGACATATTTATGTATTGTGCCATGCACCATAGGTTTCTTATCTATACCACTTGTCACATCTTTTTTTTTCCAAATAATGTGCAACATTGTGGGACACAAAAAATAACCAATTTAAATAAATATGGTAGCCATCTAATTTAAAGAAAATTCAAATTATTTAATTAATTAATTAATTTTAGTCTACAAATCTATTAAATTCTAGGTAAGAGTTCAAGTTATTAATTATATTTTTAGTGGTATTTTCATAAGCTTTCATAATAGGAAAAGGTCTTTTAACTTTTGTTGATTAAATTGCATATTACACTATCTTTTAGTTCCATATGTTAAAGATGTTTTCAGTTACCCGTTTAGTCTTTGATAGAATATGATAGAAGGGTTTGTTTAGCCGCTGTTGGACTCTTTTTGATTCATGTTTGGATTGCAAGCTTGTCTTCAGCATTCCATTCTTTTCTTTCGTTTGGGATTTTGGTGATTCTATCAGTTGCGGTTTTCATAGGTATGGTTGGGCCATCTAGAATTACTCCCCATAGATAAGGGTTTTCGCTAATAAGATGGTCCATCATACGATTTTTTCACCATCCATAATATTTGCCATTGAACAGTGGGGGTCGTGTTTGTGAAGCTCCATCTTGTGGGGTAGGTGGTGCTGCCATTGAGTCTTTTCAAGGTCTGAATCTTTTATCGAAAAGACCTGCTCTGATACCAATTGAAGAAATCTTACCCCAGACCAAGAACCAGGTTCTTGTAAGTTGCTTTTAAGTAAAGACACAAACACTTATTGAATTAAAAACCTTCATCACTCAAGGAAGGAAAAACCTCGTTTTATTAATTCAACTATAAAATTTTGTGATTACAACTCAATAATCAAAAGTCTTATCTCTACTACTCCCTTGATTGACTCCAATCGATCTCTCCAAAAGGCCAAACCCACCTTTTGTTGTAACTCTTACTAACACTCAACCCTACAAAGAGCCAAACCCACCCTTTGTACCATAAACTGTAAATTACAATCAAGAATAAAACAAGAAAACAGTTCTACACGTTAAAAACCTTTTCACTCAAGAACGTTTTAAACGTAGCAAATCTATCAATCTTGAAGACTTCCATTTGATGAATAATTCTCCCTTTTCTCTCTATGTGAAGTCGTCCTATTCTTCATCTGCATCGTGCTCTTCTTATAGAGTTTCTTTTGCCTTGTACACTCCTTATCAGATAAGGTAAGGAAGTTATTGTTAAACAAGGATTCCTTTTTAAAGTACAATCCTTATTATATACAACTTCCTTCCTTAATAATATATTTAAGGTTTTCCTTATTTGTATCAACTTGTACCTTTAATATATTATTTTTGGCTTTGACAAATAACTCCATTTTACTCGATCTTGGACTCTAGCTTGGCTTCTTTTGCTGCGTACATTTGCTACTGTTCTTTGCGCTTCTTGTCTATCATCAAAACATGAATTATCGATTCAATCATATTCTATCATATTCCCTCCTTTTGATGAAGACAAACAAATATTTCTGTGTGATGCATGCGCAAATACTCTTCCCCCTTTTGACAAATCAAAAAGAGTCCAACAGCGGCTAAACAAACCCAATCAACATCCATAGCAACAATATAAACCCAGCCAGTTGAGCATAATAAGTTTAAACAACTAAGAGAACTAGGTTCAAACAAGATGCTTTTTCAATGTGAAGGTTGACCAGGCCTAGTTGAAGTAGAAGCCAGCATATCCAGAACTCTGTCAACTCTTGCATTGTTAGCAAGTTGCTGCTGCAATAACTGATCCTTCAACCTGTGAATTTCAGCATTTGAAGTGTCAAGTTTAGCACGTAACTTCTGGTTTTCTGACTCAAGAGTGGAATACTTTTCTTCAGCTACTTTAAGTTCCCTGAGTAACTGAGCAACATGACCAGATGTACGTGGAGACGCAGTTGCAACCTGCTCCGACTCCATGGGAATGCCACAATCAGCAAGAATGGTTTGAGTGAACATATCTGCACGAGTTAAAATCCCGCCTTCTCCCAATGGTACTTCAAATGCATCAAACACTCTAGTTAACAGATTTCCAAAAACTTCAATTCTTTGTCATCCATCAAAACTACAAACTTCATGTTTTCTCATTCCCTAAGAATTTCCCCCTTTTTGATGATGACAAACTATGCATATGTCTATCCACATTATATAATTCCCCCCTTTTGGCATCATTGAAAATCAATAACCAAAGAACTCGAATAACATTCAATGAGTGCAATATCATTTTTAACTCTTAGCCAATTGGGCAACACTTTCAAGTACACTTCTTCTAACAAAATGGTTAGTTAATCTGAGGATATTAGTTATCATACACTCATACACAATTAAGATCTTCAATGAGAAACAAAATAAGCAAATATGTACCAGTTTATGCCCTTAATCAAAAACATATAATATCATGAGTATGAGACAGACATAAGCACATCAAAGAGTCAAAAGAGTATTAAATTTGAGGATAAGGATTGTGACAAAGATTACTAAAGTGAGGAAGAAAGGGATGTTTACTGCCATTGATAATTTTTTTCAGTATGCCCGTTGTGCACCAGCTTCTTTATTCTAATCAGTTTTCTTAGAATGTGAAATTTCATCAAGAGAAACATGATATACATCATCACTTTTTTTTAACTCTAATCCGTAACATTTTCTTTCCTCCATGATTTTCTTCCTTTTTTTTGATGACAACTTTGAAGGAGTACCAACTACCAGTAAGAATTCATCACATTTTGGTGCACAAAGAGATGTGTT